CTCTGTCGATGTCAGCGCTGAGCGGTCTGGCGTGGCCATCACGTGTGCCACGTTACTCACCTGTAGCATTGCACACCATGTGAAGCTGCTCGACTCCGGCCAGCGAGGTTTTTTCTTTTAACCACCTGTCACTGCTTCGTGTGGAGAATCAACAGCATTGTGCAATGGCAGATAGAGTATCCCAGAGGCAAGAGTCTGGAATCCCTCAGAGCGGCTCGTCAAAAGAGGGAATCCCGGGAGCAGCCGGGGTCCTGTCACGTGAGAGCAGTGAGCGGAAAACAACGGCACAGGCAAAGAAGAGGCATTGAGATAGCACTTGAACTGGAGGGTTCTTGGACGTAATAATTGATGAGTAGGATCAAGCAACCGCAGCTAAGGAGAATTAATTGTGCAGTGAGTCGTAACAATCGTTGAGAGGTGCGTATACCAGTACGCTTGACATATATTGTGCTGGCAGACGACGGTCAAACGTAAATGGAATTATTATTACAGAGTCGTCTTTCGTACTCTATAGCATTCTATTCTGGACTCAACACATACCTTAAATAGCAACCAGCCCCACATGAGAGGATAGAACTGTACGGCCGTGCTCAAAAGTTATCATAGCAGCAGCACGGGAGTAAGCTTAATTTCAGAATTACACCGACAAAAAACCTCATTGCATAGCGACCTACAATGACATGCATCACTTACGAGGGTTGTACTCTGTATATAGCATGCTCTCAGCTGTCCAAGTATGAATAATCGCTGCTCCTTGCTCCCAAGTCAAGACAAGATCATGCACGAACCACTATTCCCTGCCACGAACCATGGTATAAAACCGGGCGTTTAATGGGCAGGGATCGGTTTAGTGCCGGGTGGCTTGGCACGGGCTGTTGGGTTTCCCTGACTAGGCCAGTCTGGGTTTAGTGCATCCCGAATTCTTCTGCGTCGCATCGATGGCCTTCTCTCTGGATTCAGGCTGGCGGGTGTGGGGGAAGGAGCGGAATCCTGGAGATGGCCATACTCGATACGGAGGAGATTATCTGCTGTCACGTGTGGGGCTCGTTGCTTCTTCGGCTACGCCGCACCGATGGCGTCTCTTGGCAGCCAACGACAGCTGCTGGTATGTGTGATAGTACTCCGTACTCACCGGTACCGAGTCGGAGATGGTCCGTATTCTGGAACCCAGTCACACTTTGCAAGAAGGAGAAAACCTTGATGCCCAGGAGTACTCCGTAATTATTATGAGGTGCTGCCATAGGATGCTGTGATAGGCTGCCTCAGGCTCAAGCGAGAGCACCAGACTAACCGGAAGAGGTTATCCTCCAACAACAAACATGATCGTTTCAAGACAGTTTCTCAGGAATCAACACTGAGTATGTAGGTTATTGACAATAAACAGGACAGTAATAATACCAGAGGCAGTTTGATGAGTATGTTTTCCATTTCTCCTTTGTATGAGGTTTCGTTCACATTAATGGGCTGGCTGATCCATCGGGATTTGGTCCACGGGCCGGAGAAATTTTGATGCCTCTGTCTACTCCAGAGCGGTGATTGATAGACTCTTTTAACAAATTCCGGAGCAGATGGTCAGAGCCCGGCTGCGCTTAGGCGCGGAAAGCAGCGGCGGAAGGCTGCCACAAGCTTCAACGAACGTCACGAAAGACAGGGAAAAAAGGGGGCAAGACTCGGGGAGACAGAATGTGGATCCAGATGGAGGACTTAATGGTGGGCAATTATTGGCCTTAACACAGATCGAAGGCGCAAAGTGGCGCTCCGCTTGTCGACTTGGCGGATCCGACGGTGAGGTTGACAGACGATCCGTTCGCCTGTCCTCGTGGGCCCCAACTCACTGGTCGAATGACTCGAATCCTCTGATACTGGTTCTACGGAGTATATTACCATTTGTATTGCCATATTCATTTTGCTATGGGATCCTCCTTGCTATGCAGTTTTAACAGGTACCAGATTTAATACGGGATCAAAAAGAGATACGTCAGATAATAGGTAGTATTGGCAGAGGTATAAGGATACAATAGTTACAGGTTCTACGACAGAGAAGAAAGAAAGGATTTTCTAGACTGAAGCAAACTCCAATCACTTGGAATCCCTACGTTTCAGGTATTTTACTAGTAAAATTTTTTAGATTTCTACCACAGGCCATCGACTCTAACCTTAAAAAAAGGGGGGAATAAGGACGGGTTATAACCCAGAACTCATTAAATATAGACCATATACCCTTGATACCATGGCTTCTTTTAACATTGCGTCTTTATTAACAGTAATATCTACATTTTGGCACCATCTCTCTTAGCATATAGGTTTTTGTCGCGTGCAGGACATGGACGGCCACACCTTGTGTACGGAGTATGTTGTCGGATCCTCTGCCCCATCACATATGGAAGGTCTGTCAGGAGGCATGTGGACTGTTCTTTCCTTAAATGAAGGACCCTCCGTAGCGAGCTCAGAAGGAACCTTGCCCCTTCCTCCGTACACAGCCTGGAATGAGTGCACAACACATCAGCATTGATACTCTGTCACTAGTATAAACCATCACATCTCTTCATAAATTTCTAATAAATACAGTAATGCAACACAACCAGGCAACAATTCTACAGTCTTCTTACTATGTCTACTTTCATCCAGTCACTGCGGTACAACCGTTATTCCACCCAACGGCCCGCCCGTCTGGACATTTGTTCTCTGCCACACAAAGCTTAAAACCAAGCGAGAGGTCCTAGCCACGGATTTATTCAAACTTCTTCAGCCATTTCCATCCTTCCCCGGCGTCCCAAGTTAACTGCTGTGCAGATCAGCACCCATTCTGAACGCCACAGGGTGCGATTCCACTCTATCAAATCCCCGTTGCTGCGTCGCCAAGCTGAGCCGCTGTCGCCGGCGTCGCTGATCTTCACAGCAGTACAGTCTAGCATGAAGAATACGGAGTCTTACCTATTGCCGCAGGAGGCCGCTCGCTTCCTCGCTTCTCTCAACGATGCAGCAGCACCATGAGAGGCTCCGACGATGGTGCTTGCGTAGACTCCGTACTCCCCTGGAAATCCCCCTGAGGATACCATCCAAATTTGATAGTGACAGCTTGATAGACAGAGCCGGTCCTCGTGCTAAAACGTGGTTGTTTACCCTCAGCCAGTCATATTCTTCCTTTGCATTGAGCCTCCTATACAAACACCGCGGGAATTCCCCCCCCCGATCACAGGGCACAGGGATGCTTTCGACCGTTGAGCTGCTCCACGCACTTCCTACACTAATTCTCGCATAATTAGCTCAATGGAGATGACACGCATATATATATGAAAGGGGAGCACCCATGTCTGGGCAGCCTTCTTGGTTCCTCACCGGCGTGGCTGCTTTCTTCCAACTGAACTGCCTGCAAAATGGTCGGTTCTCTGTCGCTCCTTACGGCTCTGGCCACCCTGCCATTCGCTTTAACTGTTCACTCAGCTCCTCATCGACGCCAACTGGGCACGCTGGGCGCTGATATTCCCGATGGATTGATCCAAGGCACCCTGGGCGCGCTGGCGGGCCAGATCGGTGTCAACCAGACTTACGACTATGTCGTCGTCGGTGGAGGAACCAGCGGCAATGCAATTGGCACCCGTCTTGCGCAGGCCGGATATAAAATCGCCATTATCGAAGCCGGCGAATTCTACGAGGTCGGAGATCCGGTTCTCGCGTCGACTCCCGGCGGTGACTTCGCCTTTGTCGGGGCGGACATGACCGATGGCGACCCTCTCGTCGACTGGATGTTTGAGACGGAGCAGATGCCGGGTGCGGCTGGACGAGCGGTGCATTACGCGCGCGGCAAATGCCTTGGTGGAACGTAAGCGCTCCTGTCACGACTATGAGGGAGAGATGTTGCTGACCATATAGATCGGCCCTGAACTTCATGATCTACCAGAGAGGAACCGAAGGATCCTTCCAGCAATGGGCCGACCTCGTCGACGACCAAAGCTACACCTTCGACAAGCTTCTGCCGTATTTCAAGAAGAGCGTGCAGTTTACGCCTCCCAACACGGAGATGCGTGCGGCCAACGCAACCGCCCAGTATAACCCGAACGCCTTCTCGTCCAGCGGCGGACCGCTGCACGTCTCCTTCCCCAACTATGCTGCCCCCTTCTCGACCTGGGTCGCAAAGGGATTGCGGGCCATCGGCATCGGCGAAATCGACGACTTCAACAGCGGCAAGCTGATCGGATCCCAGTTCACCCCGCTGACGATCCGGCCTTCCGACCAGACGCGGAGCAGCTCTGAGGCTTCATTCATCCAGAGCATGAACGGTAGCACGGCGAATCTCAAGATCTACACGGGCACAATGGCGAAGAGGGTCCTCTTCGACGATAACAAGACTGCAACGGGTGTCGAGGTGATGTCCAACGGCCTGACCTACCAGATTAACGCCGCGAAGGAAGTCATCGTTTCTGCCGGCGCGTTCCAGTCCCCGCAGGTTCTCATGCTCTCCGGAATCGGACCAAGGGCGACGCTGGAGCAGTTCGACATCCCCGTGGTGGTTGATCTGCCTGGTGTCGGACAGAACATGTGGGACCACGTCTTGTTCGGTCCCAGCTACCGCGTCAAGGTCGACACGTTCACCAAGGTCGTCCGCGATCCGGTGTATCTGGCCGAGCAGCTGGTCAACTATATCGTCAACAAAAACGGGCCCCTGACCAGCAACTCGGCGGATTTCCTTGGATGGGAGAAGGTGCCCGACAAGTACCTCAGCAACTTCACCGCACAAGCCAAACAGGACCTGGCTGCGTTTCCGGATGACTGGCCGAACATCGAGGTGGGTTTGCAACGTCTGTTGGCATATACCTTGGCTGACTCTTTTTTTTTTCTCTAGTACATCTCTGGACCGGGTTACGTGGGAGACTTCTCCAACCTGCTCCTGAACCAGCCCTTCGACGGCTACTCGTACGGTACCATCCTCGGCGCCCTGGTGTCGCCCACGTCTCGGGGCAATGTGACGCTGCGGTCGGCCTCGATCACGGACAAGCCGATCGTCAACCCGAACTGGCTGTCCACGGAGACGGACGCGCAGGTTGCGGTGGCAGCGTTCAAGCGCGCGCGCGAGGCGTTCGCCAGCGAGGCCATGAACCCCGTCGTTATCGGCGAGGAGTACTATCCCGGCCCGCAAGTGCAGACGGACGAGGAGATCCTCGAGGCGATCCGGAAGAGCGTGCAGACGGTGTGGCATGCTGCATGCACATGCAAGATGGGGAAGAAGGACGACCCTATGGCGGTGGTGGATTCGCAGGCCCGCGTGTTTGGCGTGAACAACCTGCGTGTCGTCGATGCCAGTGCTTTCCCGATCCTGCCGCCTGGCCATCCCCAGAGTGCAGTCTGTAAGTCATCACCATCACTCGATATTTTCAGCGCAGGCAGCTAATCTCCTACCTAGACATGCTCGCGGAGAAGATCGCTGATCTGATTATCAACAACGGCACTGCCTCGATGTAAGTCTGGTGTCGACGAGGAGACAATCCTTGGGAAAGTATTCCGCTCGTTAATTCGATTAATTCTTCCTTCTCGAGTTGGTGGCTACTCTTATAAATAATACGCTTCTAAATATATGCTTATCAGCGTCTTTACTATTCATCCGCTGTTGGTTTTTTGATGGTTTATTTATTTCTCTTCATTCTCTATAAACTTTTACTTCATCGTTACTGTTAACAGTATGTATAGTAGTATCCTGTAGATGTACTGTATCATAGCTGAATGATCTGCAGCGTGAGTTGTGTGATGGATAGATAGTTCTTCAGCCAGTCACCCATAGTCTTATACAAAAAAAAAAGATAAATAAAAAATAAAAAGAAAAAGAAAACAAAGACCTACAAAGCATCAAGTTTAAATATACACAGCACAAAAATCGAAATCTCCTCCGGACGTCCCAGGACCTCGGGATATCTCTCGGACCAAACGCCCCGGAACCCCGGAACTAACTTTCGAACCATGTAACATTAATATAAGTACTCCGTACCTAGAATGTCAGGTATGAGTGTTTTAAACTTAGTTTAATTAGTTAGTGTTGGATCCAAGCTTGTGTCAGAAACTCAGAATTTTCCCCGCGCGCGTTTTTAGATGACCAATAACTCAATTGGGAAAAAGGTCGAGGGTAGGTACCTCCCTAGTATTGGGGTTTAGTTGAAACTGAAACAGATAACGAGTCTTGATGGTCCTGTAATTTTTTTTTACCTTTGCCTTTTCTTTTCTCTGCATGTATGTATGTACAGTCCCTCTACGGCGCTCGATAATTTCAATGAGTGAATGAGTGTGAGTGTGAGTAGATGTTTTATTCCTCATCAGTTTACAGACGAATCTAAGCTGCGGTAAACGTTCACTCTCCACTCCTCTCCGCTACAGACAGACAAATAAATATCAGAAACAATCCATGTGGAACCCGAAACAAAACAAGCTATTTTAGACAGATGATGTAGATGTAAGCTTACCTGGAAGGATGTCTAAGCATAAGTCTGGTTATTCATGCAGTCCTGCAGATCGCTAAATAGAGATTATGATTGGCAACTCGAAAAGAAGGGTGACAGTAGCAAAGCGTTACAGCAGTCTATTAATTGTTTCGCTCACCGGAGTAATCTACGTCTCTATCAGTCGATAGTATGACGCCATCCAAAGTCTGTCTATCTACTACTACGATTGATTGATTGATTGACAGCCCCTATTAATAATACTGTTCAACTAGCCTTAAAAAGATTGACCGTAGAACAGTCTACAGCACCTCAACCTAACCTTAATGTAACCAACACTGAACTGTATGCAGCATTTGCATTTGTGCACAATGTTCTGTACATTACTGTACTAAGAGACCAGCTCGTTACATTCATCGCGGGGAATCATCGGGGGATAAGTAGCCTGGCTTATCGATCTTTGTGTCTGCTGACGCTAGCTAAACAAATTGTGGAAACGCAGATCACAGAGTCCCTGATGTAACCCGCCTAAAAAAGGTAGTTGTTCCACCGTGGTACTGTTATTTATGTATACTGGGATATAAATATATGTCCCAGTTTCGACAAACCATCAACTCGAACAGGAATTCTTCTCAGATCGATTGACTGACTGCTCGCCATCATGCGGTTCTTTCACCTAACCTCCTCCTCCCTTGCTGCCTCTCTCCTCCTCTACCTCCCTCGCCTGGCCTCCTGCCAGGGCGGCGAATTCACCCTCAGCTGTCTTCCCCTGACATACCAACGCTCCGATCCCATCCTCTTTCCCGGCGTTGTCTCGCCGCACACGCACGTCGTCGTCGGCGGCACCAACTTCAACCGCACCATGTCCGAGGACCTGGCGCCGAATGCGCAGAATACGACGTGCAGCGTGAATATTGACCGGAGTAACTACTGGCAGCCGCTGCTGTATCATCTCAATTCTGATGGAACGTTTGAGGCCATTCCGTTTCAGGGGAATGTTTGTGTTTTCCTCCCCTGTGCTATTATTGCTGAGTGGTCGTTTACTGTTTTTTTTTGTCGGCGACAGGCAGTCTACTACCTGAACAGGGCTTGCAACTACACTGCTGGAGCGACTTCTTGCCCTACGAATGGCTCTTATCCGCTGGCGCCGCCTGCTGGGTTGCGCATGGTGGCGGGTAATCCGATGCTGCGGTATGCAGTCTGAAGACCTTGCTTCTATTTATGTCCCGCTGACCGACTGTCTAGCACCTACAATGACTCCAACTTCGCCCAGAGAGCTATGTCCCACATGTGCCTGACCGAAACAGACAGCATCTACACCAATTCTCTCCCCAGCCAGCCATGTCTGAGACTGCGCGCTCAGACATTCTTCCCGTCTTGCTGGGATGGGAAGAACCTGGACAGTCCGGACCATACCAGTCATGTCAGTTAAACAAAACCCCTAGCAAAAGGAGAACCTCCCAAAAAACACACAATACTAATGATAGATATATGTAGATGTCCTACCCCGCCATCGGCGACTACAACACCGGCGTCTGTCCCGAATCCCACCCCGTCGCCATCTTCTCCATCTTCCTCGAGTTCTTCTACGACGTGTCCAACTACACCGACTACGAGAACTGGGTGTACGCCATGGGCGATCCGACGGGTTACGGCCTGCACGCCGACTTCGTCAATGGCTGGACCGACATCGATGCGTTGCAGAATGCCTTTGCTACCTGTACGGGCCCCCAGGGAGAGAATGATCCCGGCTGCTCTATCACTGGTGGGCATGTCCAGGGCGCTACGACGCAGCAGGACGCTTTCCCGGCCCCGGCGGAGGATCTGGGTCTTACGGCGCCGATTCCTGCGCTGCCGGGGAATAATCCTGTTACGGGGTCTGCTAGTGATAGGCAGACGTCGTCGTAGGCAGCTTAAGAAGCGAGTGAAATGAAGCTAAGCTCCTGCCTTGTCAGGGGTGTATATAGCTCCTCAGGTAGTTATTTACGAGATAACTTTTTTGGAATTGAATTAAGTATGTCATTTAAACTCAATGATCATTATCTATCGTCTTCGTATTAGATGCGAGGATTGAACTATTCTCCTCTCCTGCCAAGTATTATTATGTAGAGTACAAGTATTGGCTGGTTGACGGACCGGCTGACCATTTAATTAGCATAAGGACGTTCATCCACTGCTGAATTCTTTACCAACACTATTATTTTAAATTTTCGCCCCCTGCGAATTCTTTCCTCTTCCAAGCGTGGAATAAACTGAATTCCCTGACAATGTCAATGCCAGCTATGAGTAATGTTCTGTTATGCTTGATAGTTCATTGATAATACTCAATTTAAAGTCTATTATTATAGTACGTAAAGGGAGGGGAAGGGCAAAAAGAAAAAAAAAAGGAAAGAAAAAGTCCAGTGACACCAGACTCAGGTCTATTCAATAAAAGAGAGCTTTAGGAGGCTGCTATAAGTAAAAGGCTAGCAGCATGTAGCAAGTCTTAAATACTAATACCTATCTAAACTCTTATCTACCTATAAGCTATATTATAATATATAACTTATTAGTACAGAGTTCTTATAAAAAGAGAGAATATTATACCAACAATATTATTACTTAAGGCTATTGTAGGAATTCTAGACTTTTTGTGCCTTCTAAAGGCAATATTTATCACTATGTCACAAGCTGGCAAGACAGAGAATCAATACAGTCTTTACTATCAATGTTTATTCGATCTCTATCGCAAAAAGAATAAACAAGCTAGAGCCTTCCGAATTCTCGGATATTAGTAAAATCGATGTTTTGTTGTATTTACAAGCAATAGAATACATGTGAGCATCCATATTAGTGAGAGAATTAGGCGCAGATATTCGGGTTTGCATTTGATGTCCTCTATAGTACATACATAGGCTGTACGAACAGTAGTTGGAACTGTGACCACGACTGTACTACCGAAATTGGCTTGGGAAACCAGTTTTGACCAATTTTGGCTCGTCTGTTTCACTAATCGTATTAGAGACTCCAGTTACCAGTCACTCCAGTTACTTCAGTCATTCTCATCCTCGCTGACGCTTTCCCGCGCAAATCGTCGTATTCGATAGCGCCATATGCCGTTCTCCTTCGGATCTTGACTTTTCACGAACAGGCGGTATTGCATGAATTGCGGCCAATTCATAGACGCTTCGGCAGGAGCGCGCATCCCAAGTAGTACCTTCTCAATACGAGTCAGAAACGGAAAGGGCTGGTCAGGATCAATGACGTAGTCGAAGAGGAGAATATCATCTTCGCGGCCCGTGACCGCTTTGGCTGCCTGCAACGTTAGCGTTTCTAGGCGTATAGTCAGGTCGCAGAGTATGAGGGCCTTGAAACAATGGCTAAGTCAGCCCTAGTCTTGATGGGAGGAGAGAATGGATGCCTCTATTTATGAGAGAGACTTACTCCGCAATTCGCTCGAGCACCATCAGGAACTTCCAAATCACGGAACTCGACTTTGTTATTTTCGCGAGCTCGAGCCAGCTTGGCTTCCGCCCAAGAGGAATCGACGTTGCAGACACATAAAGTTAGGTCTCGGAGCGACGAGCACTGCAGAAGTGCTGCTTCCGCAACAGGTCCGTAGCACCAAACACTTTCGTAGATCGGTGTCACGGTAAGCAAGGTTAGGCTATTCTTATGGTGGGGAACGACTTGATCCCAGAACCTGCGGCCGGTGCTTTCCTCGAGATCTTGCTGATCCATCTGCAACCCACAGATCTTCAGCTTCCGTAGCCCAGTGTATGAGAGTAAGTAGGCAAACATCTCATCCATAGCGTTCTCTGATCCAGCGACAGTCAGGCTCGATAACTTCACGTGTGTTTCCATCAGAGCAGACCATAGTGTATCCCAGGCGAAATCATCATCACGAGCACCGGGTGTCGTTGATACTGCGAGGTGCTGTAGCTTGCGCGAGAGGGTTTCTTTGAGGGTTTCTCTGAGGCCTGTGACAGGAAGTGCCACGCGCTCTAGCTCCAGCTCCATCAACTCCGGCCTCGCCTTCCCGAGAGCGCTTTGCAATGAAACACGATCTTCCGCTGTGTCGAACCACCCATTGAAAATACGAAGCAGAGCCAACCCTGGCGATGCCCCTACAGCTGGAGCGATTTCTTGCTCACCAATATGCCTTGGGAATATTGTCGCAGGCCAACACAGCAAGGGAAGATAAATTCTTCAAACTCCTCAGAGACGGTAACGAGTATTCTATTCCACTTACGGACTGGATCCTGACCAGCACGTTCTTCAACGTGGGGAGAGAGGAAAGGCTGCCAGAGATGGGGAGGATATAGCATGGGGGATCCAGGTAACTATCATGGGTCCAACTGTAAGGAACCGGTATCATTAGTACTCGGGACGGAGCGGAGGCAGATTGGCAGCTAGACTTACTGGACAGTCTCTAAGTTCTGTAACTTCCTTATCGAGCTCGGCAAGTGCTCTGAGAGGAAGGCTTGAAGGGACTCTTGATCCAGCTCTCTCCTATACTGGCGTCCCAGGTGGAGCGACCTGATCTTGAGCGTCGTTATGCAAAAGGTGAAGGTACAGGAAGAGGTGGAGATGGATTTAATAAGCTCGAGTTTCCTATGGAAGCCGCGAGTAGAGAGATTGATGGAGATTTCTGAGAAGACTCGGGGATTGGTCAGATGCAGGAAGACCTTGGAGGCCACCCGGAGAGGGAGGAGAGCGTCGAGTGAAAGGTGGTCCAAGATCACGTAGAGGAGCTCTGGGGGGAGAGAGGCAAGCATGGTGATTGACTTTGGCTTTGTGATCCCAAAAGAAGCTGAGATTGTGGAAGGTGCAGAGATGGGCAGCAGGTGAGCCAGCCAGCCCTAACCCCAGGCCCTGAGCCCTCGCCTATCTGAGTCAGGCAACCTCCGTGACTTGACTACGCTGCCATATGGCAGAAAGCAAACCCAGCCTCAGGTTCAGAACTGTGGACGTATTCTTACCTCAGCCTTCTTCAATCATTTAACTTAGTGTATATATCTTTCTTCGCGTTCGTCCATCCCTCCTGGCGATTCTCAGTCTCTCTTCCTCTGAAATCTTCTGGCTCGAAGGCAGGAATACAGCGATGATGGCAATAACAACATACAAAACAAGGCAGACCCAAATAGGAACAGAGGTGGTCAAGTCAGCAAAGGTTGCAATGAAAGGGGATGGCAGTGAAGCTATGTGACCAAATGCCACTGCGAGAAACAGCCCGTGCGCGATGGGCAGTGTTCATGGCTTCGGGTGTGTACCTGAATGTGTATTAGCGAAGCCATGACGTTTATTGACTTACGAGTATAGAAACAGAGTGGAAAGCGTTCCGCCAGAACAAGCACCGACTTTGACAGATGCAAGCAGTTTTTGAGCAACATGTCGAATCGATGGCCTCACCTGTCGCATTCAGTTTCCATTCCTATAATTGGTAATAGGTTGTGTCGATCCCAACACGTGGACTAGGTAAATAAACTTGAATGCCTGCAAATTTTGGCACGATCTGACATCACTGAGCTGAAAGTGATTCCGCTTTTCAAACTAACACTGTTCTGGGAACTGCTTGATTACAGTGCATCGTGCACAACTGCCACATTGGAGGGCCTCTCTACACATGTTATGATGAAGGTTGTGCTAACGCGGCAGCTGGTACCGCTGAACGAGTCTGTTGGTTATCGCAGGAAGCACAGCCAGCAACGAGACATTTGATTTCGCCGCCCTCGCCGTCCGGGTTAGAGGAGATGGCGTCATTATCCCCAGATCAGCTTTCGCCGCGCGGTTTTGTGCGTGATGATGACCTGTTATTCAGTCAGGTCGACATGGCAGATTGTTCCGCTGTTGACTTTTATAGACAGCTATGACGATCAATCATACCTCAGATTTCAAAAACGATGCCATAACATTCGCTTCTAGCTGAGATCCTATGACAGCGAGATTTTTCTCTATACTGTATGGAGCGACACAAAAATTTAAAACCACAAGTCGCCGACCCCTTGGCGTTGTCATTAGCACTTCCTCTCCGTACCTCCGCGGTGGGCACGGTTCGTGTTGTCAAGGCTGTGCTGTCCCCACGCGCCGTCAATTCCGTATCACTTCATGATCAGATACTCGAGCCTCGAGACTGATCCATGTTTCGTATCAACCTCGATAAAAGAAACAGAGATGATGACGACTCAGAATGTGTACCTGCCAGGCACGGCAGGACAGATTTTCGAGCTTCCTATTCTGGGCGACAGCCAGCACCGGCAATGCAGACACTGCGTCCAACTGCTGTCAGCTGGGCTGCTGCAGAGACGAATCTCATTACTCAATGTGGCTAGCTATTGAAGTAGCTGAATGTTGGAAGATTACCTTCTCTGTACTAGTGTTGCCCTCATGTGACTAGCTGAAGCAATGCTATATTTATAGAGTAGTTTGGCCCATAAGGGCCATATAGCTAATTAAGTATTTTCCTCCTTTTTATTAGGTTATTGTTACGCGCTGGGTCCAACCGTAGTCGTCGATACTTAACGATGGTGGTTAGGGAAGGATCAAGGAGTCTTCTTGACTCTGTGTCGTTCACGAGCACGCGACGGTCTAACCGACCCGGGTCTCCTCTTCCTCGAGACAACGGCCTACCTGGCGAAGGGCTCTTCCTCGAACGACTTCTCGCGATATAATGGGGTCTCGCAAAGATACACGATAGGGGTGCTTCAGGTGAACAAGAACGATAACGACTAGGTCAGAGGCAACGCCTACTAGAGCTATACCGAAGTATACCACTAGTAGTAAGAAGTCTTACTGACCCCCAAAGTAAGTATCTTAGTAACTCAGGTTGAATGGATTGAATTGAGCGCGAGTAAGGAAAAGCTAGATACATGAGTGTAATGGTCCTTATTTATGTTTCTTTCAGTCTTCTTTCGGC